TTTTACATATGTGCATTCTAACTAAATTTTTCCATGCAAATATATAACCATAAATGTTGAAACATGTTCAAAACTTCAAATCAATTGAGAAATATAATGAAAAACGCAAAAATAAAAACAAGTTCATGGTGTATTAATCTCTAACTATCAAATCCAAACTAAGTATGGCATACTCCACACTGCCATGTGAATACGATCACAACTAGACAAGATGAAACACAAAAGAGAAGTATAAAACCAATAGCCCAAATACCCAATATTGACACATGAATACGATCACAACTAGACAAGATGAAACACAGAAGATAAGTATAAAATCAATAGCCCAAATATCCAATACTAGAGTATGGATTAGTTAAGATGAGATGAAATACTAAAAAAATTAGCAACAATGAAGAGTACGCTTATGGATATTTCTTGAGATATTATATTGTTTTTCGATAAATATTTCAAAATCAATAGATTTGAAGGCTTAGATTCTTTCGTTTTTTTTTCACTTTGGGGGTCTAGAATACCCTAATAGCTTCTATGAAAATATTGTGGGTCGAACCAAGGTTCCCTTAGAGGACACTTTATGTATTCTAAAAAAACGGCCCAATATCTCAGCACCTGCTTAGGATTGGGCACAGGGCACCCGCCTTGACTACTTGGGGGGGCACCCCTGTACTGGCGCCCAGGGAGGACAGCCTAACCCTGGGCATGTGCCTTGAGGTCCTTCGGGCGCTGGACCTTTGTTTTAAACAATGGTCAATGGGTGAAAGGAGTTTAGGGGAGGGGGGGAACTCAATAAAATAACAAATACAACACCGGAAATTCAAACAAAAAAAAGGCTAGGTTAGCTTGTTTGATATTTTTGAAGACAAACTTCAATATTTTGAACTCGACTTTGCCTTCACTCGAATCGAGCAAAAGCCTGATTTATGAAAATCCCCTAAGCTCAGAGGATTGGATAACTGAACTTCCATCTTATTCGTGCATAGCGGCCCATACCTAGCACACAAGGTTCAGCCACTAGAAGAGGAGGGATAGTACAATTTGGACTATCAAAATTGCATTCTCACCAAGAATACCGAATTTTGATTTCGGGGCATATGGTACAATTATGTATGTGATAGATATAATTGTATATGATCCGGATCCTGCTTTCTAGTAATACAGATCCGTGTTCATGTGCTAACCATCATATAATTTTCGTATAAGAAATTGAAAAGGTTGGCAGAGACTTGCAATAGAAACATAAAGCCGCCCTCAAATCTCACTGAGAATTACATCCAATGCAAAAAATCCTCAAATTAGTCGTCTCAATAACCTACGTGCACCCCACATAAATCCAGCGGTGTGCATTACTCTATACAGCTGAGACTATAAATCTCATAGTTTTTTGTATGGGACTTAAGGCTCCTTAGGTTGTCCTCTAAAGTGATTAAATCAGAACCAGTATTGAGTTCAAAATATTTTTCGCCCTGCATGTGATCCTTCTTTTCAAATTTGGATTGCTTATTTTCTTGGGGTGTTTTACATAGTGAAGAAATTTTACACATATATCCAAGAGTGTTTTGGGCTGAAGATCTTGCATTGTTTGTTCAAATCCCACTATATCACTTTTGTGTATGATTTGAGCCTCTAATTCAACCAAAGTCGAGTGCCAGTAGCGAAGGGTTGGCAATTTCAAGACTTGTATCTCTTAACAGTACATTTCCTTTAGTTTCAAAGATACATTATTGTGAGTTGCAGATGACGCAATTGATACGGGCATATCATCAGATGAACAACAAAGCAAAGAGAAGGCTGTTAAATCTGAATAAAGGTTGAGATAACAAGAAGGAACCATTGGTGAAACATGCGCTCTGACCTGTTTCACAAAGGAATCAACAATCTCATCACCCTGATTAAGAACAAGTTTGAACAAAATCTATAGCAAATTAACAATCTTGAAAATGTTATGAAAAAAATATATGTTAACCTCCAATGTGCAAAAACTTGGCTCACCCATCAGATGACATTTCAATGAATCACTCTCCTTGCAATCAATGACCCCGGGAGGTGGAGGGGAGAAAACCACTTAATCCAAAGAGGAGCTATTGTTTGAATCAATGAAACCCCTAGTGGCCAAAAAATGCCTTTAGCACTCAACCTTCACCAACAATAATGGTCCACTTGAACCTGCAGGCTCAAGGTTCCTCAAGTATCAATAGTTGAAGAAGTAATGCTTAAACATGCCACCTGGTTATTTCATCCAATAGGCTCAAGATCGACTTCTACTCTGTTGATGAACCAGATCGTCAAGCTTGATACCACAAGTGATGACCATTGTAATGTGATCCTTCAGCACGTATATTTTCTCTGTCTAACACAACAAACCAGCTACCATGCAAATCTAACAAAGAATACCTCTCTATTAGAATGGGCAAGTTCACCAGCTGGTACAATATGACCTATGCACTGACAACCAAATTATATAAACATATCAAATTCACCATGAAAACTTATAGCAGAGGAGATTTTAGATCATCAACTCTGCTTGGGGACAGGTAAGGATATAACACCATGAACTAAAAAATGGATGCGGTCAAGATCTTATAGATCACTACCAAGTTGTAGAAGTTCAAATAAGGTATTTGTCAATTATATCATCTGTGACGCAATTTCAAGAAACATTCAAGTCGGGCAAGTGTTGCAATGTATGATTTCTAAGCCCCATTTTTCTAATCATCAATACCTGCAACTCCATCTCAAACCTATATGAGAAGGCATCTAAATTCTTAATCTGAGGCTGTGACTCATCTTCAAATATGTACACGGTATTCAAGACCTGAATTCTATCCAATCGCTCATGAATAGTACCAGTGAAAAATAAGAAGCTTCACTGTCTCTTCCAATCACTGATATATGAAGAAATAATTAGAGATGGCAATACAATGTTGTTGTAGATGGTCGTTAGTCAGGATCTAATAATTCTTGTAAGGCAAAAGTTACTGTCACAGGTCAAAGAAAAAAAATTCCAATTGAAGTAGTCCATCATTCAATGCATAGTCTAAAAACCATTTCAAATAGTCATCATTACATGCAACTCCATCTCATATCCATATTCAATAACACTAACAAGGCACTCAAGTCATTGCTCTGTGGGTGTGATCCATCTCCAGAGAGAAAAATGTGGACACTATTCTTGACCTCAATCCAACTACAACCAGGTTGCTTCTTCACCCCTCTTTCCTTCATCAATGACCAAATTTTCCCTGCTTCTCTCATCTTGCCCACCCCCACATACAAGTTATACAACATCAAATAGGCCCCAGAGCTTTGTGGTTCCATTGCTAAAACTTGTGAAGCCGCAACCTCTCCAAGCTCAATATACCCATGAAGTTTGCATGCCCCTAACAAAGCACCCCACACAGTAGCACTAGGCCGTAAATGAGATCTCATTCTCTCAATCAAAGTATGAGCTTCTTCAAGAAACCCAAATCGCCCAAGCAAATCTACCATGCAAGTATAATGCTCAGATGTTGGTTCAAGACCACAAGTGTGTGTCATGAGATCAAAATAGTAGCGACCTTCTCTAACAAGACCGGCATGACAACAAGCATTGAGAACACCCATGAAAGTTACTGGATTGGGCTCGATATTGGCCAACCTCATCCGATCAAAGAGTTCAAGAGCTTCTCTCCCATACCCATGTTGAGCATATGCACATATGATTGCATTCCATGAGATAATGTCATAGTTTGGCATATATTCAAAAGTAAACATGGCTTGATCTATGCTTCCACATCTAGCATACATACTTACGATCGCATTACCAACTGCAATTACAATATCCCAGCCAAACTTAATACTCAACCCATGAACCTGCTTCCCACAATCTAAAGATGGTAAGATAGAACATATGTTTAACACACTCGTAAAGGTGGCAAAGTCGGGATTTGGGCCGCGTATCCGCATCTCAAAAAACAATTGTAAGCCCTCTTCCCCACATTCGTTACGAGTGTATCCTGCAATGGCCGTGTTCCACGAAGTCTCATCTTGACAAGGCATCATTTCAAACAAGGAACGAGCAGTGATTATATTCCCAAGGTGAAAATAACCATCCATTACAATGGTCCATGATACAACATTTTTACATGGTATTTTAATAAATAAAGCATGAGCTTCTTCTGCCAAACCACTTTGGATTAGGCCCAAAAGAAGGCTATTCCATACAAGAACATGTCTCTTGGGCATGCTCAAAAATAGTCGGATCGCATCATGCAGCCGGCCACAATTCACATAACCATTGATCATTGCACCCCATGACCCAATATCCTTTTGAGGCATTTCCATGAAGAGCTCCTCTGCAATATCAACCATCCCATTCTCTAAATAACCAACTACCATGGCATTCCATGAACGGATATCTCGCGCTGGCATTCGATTAAAAAACTCGCGAGCTTTATCTAAATTCCCTTCTTGTGCATGTGCGGACACCATTATCGTCCAAGAAGCCGCATCTTTCACAGGCATAGCTTCAAAGAGTTCTTTTGCCTTATGAATTGCATTATGGTGGACCAGGCCAGACATGACAATGTTCCACGAAATCACATTCCTCTCACGCATTACTTGAAACAAATGATATGCTTCTTCCATCATGGCATTGTGGACATATCCCGTTAACATTGCATTCCAGGAAACTAGATCACGTTGGGGCATCTCGATGAACAATAGCCTCGCATTTTGAGTCTCCCCATTAGACATGCACCCCGTAATCATGGTGTTCCAAGATATGAGATCACGCTCCGGCATCTTGTAAAAGAGTCTTAGAGCTTCCTCCAAATTGCCTTGCAGCGAATACCCTCTGATCATTGAATTCCATGTCACCACATTTCTTTGAGGCATTGTATCAAAGAGTTGGCGAGCATAATCAACCAATCCTTCACGCATGCACTTGGTAATTGTGGCATTGAGAGAAACTTGATCAAAATGGCAATTGGGGCCATGGACATTGGTTCTTGGTTGGAAATTGGCACCAAACCCAATTCCAAAATGAGGCCAACCATGAATTGCTAACCTAGAGAAGTGGTGCTTGTTCAAATTGGGGGCCAGTGTATGTAGCCTGGGAAATTGAGTAGGAAGGAACATCCACCTGGGGAGGAGAAAACCCAACCATGCTACATAAGTTTTAATGAAAAATGAATCAATTTAGATGGTAAATTACAAAAAACAGGTTCCTCAGTACTTGTTCAGAAGGTACATTAACTATTGAAATGTGGCCCTTTTCATCAGAATAATGGAGTTGTTGCTTGTATTTGGACTTCTCCAATCATGTCCAAAATTCGCAGGATTTTGGATTGGATAAATGGTTTTTATTCAAAAGGTAGAAGACTTGAAGGTGATCTGATCATTCAGTGGACTAAAAAAAACAAGGATAGTTTTTATTCAAAAGGTCGAATACACGAAGTTGATTGGGAGAAAGCACGCGAGCGTTTCTATGCTTTTAGAAACACGTGTGAGATTTGGGAAGGGGGAACTTCATTATTCCATTCTCATTCAAAATGCATTAAAACACGTACTATTTTTAATACAATCTTTTCTTTTCTTTTCTTTTTTCTCCCATCCATAAATCTTAGATGATCGATTTAATGATTTTTTAGCATCAAAAGCACCACTTCTAAAGAATTTTTTGAGATGGCCTCAATTTTTTATTGTTTTGGGGCCTCACCTTAAAATAAACATTCTCTTTATTTGACACATAGATGCACATGCCAAGTTCCGGCTAAAACTGGGGAGGGTAGTACAATGGAGGACAAATAGGGTAGATTGTGAAAGAGAATGGCAGCAAATACCCACTAATGCACTTGAATATCACAAAAATACACTTACTTTAACAATAATAAAAAAACCTTATTATCATCATCAAAACCTTTTCCCAATTATTTAGAGTCGACTAAAAACAATCAGAACATATCAATTACCCTCATTCATATAATTCACATCCCTACAAAATTTGCTACTTTCAATACTTACAAACAAATTTTTAAAATTTAACACTAAATGTTACATTATACCAAATTGCAACTTATTATGGTCTTAGATCGAATGATCCTTCATGGTAATTCATACATAAACCATACTCTTCCAAATAAAACATCCCAAATTACAGATCTTTTCCAAAATTTCAGAAAAAAGAAACATCATCATAGAGCCAGATACATGTTTCTTCATGTCTCCCATCACAATCCAAAAGATACATCCAATTATCTCTCTCTTACCCTCCTTTCTTCTGTATATTATACACACAAATACAATATTTCCATTCAACATGGGACCTAAACAGATAAAACAAAAAAGCCTAGCTTACAAATAAATAAATAAAACCCTCAGTTTTCCATAGGAAATGCAACAAATTAAATAAACCCTAAGAAAGTAAAATCTAGATAACCCCAAAATGCACTTTATAGAGAGAAAAGCTGAAAAAGAACAAAAAGAAAAAAAAAAAAAGGAAACAAAATAAAAACTCCACCACCAAAAAGCCAAACCCACCTTCCTAAGAAACAAATTATAAAAGAAAAGAAAACCCAAAAGATTTACATAACCAAAAACCAACATTCCAAGGATAGGAAACCCAAAAACTTCCCCAAAAAACAAAAAGAAAACACTAAACTCCATCTAACCCAAAAAAACCCCCAGCCAATAGAGTTCTTATTTTACCTCCAATTCTTTCTTTTCTTTTTCTTTTTTGTTTTTAGGAAAAGGACCCTAACACTAAACCTGGCGTCAAGTTTTAGTAGGGCTCTTGCAAGGTGACCACAATAGGACTATTAACCACATGCTTCCCATCGGTCCAAGTCACATACCCAGTACTAACCCTTGAACCCCCAGCCACAAGCTTAACAGCCCTAACCTCAACCCTAACCACAAAACTTAACCTCTGTTTAACCTTGGTAAACACTAGTTTCCCTGGTTCAACACTAACCACACTCCCTAATGGTGCCTTAACTGTAACCTTATAAACCGAAGGCCCATCCCCCACATTGGTTACTGTCCTGATAAAATGTGTGGACATCTTTGCCCTACCAGGAACTCGCTCGAAAACTGCAGAAATCGCTGGGTAATTCAAATTGCCGGCATGGGTAACTTTTTGGCTGCACTTCTCGGGCTTTCGAGTTATAATCTCAATATTCTTTGCACTATAATTTGAACTGCAAAGGAAATCCACATGATCCTGGATCGTCAGATCGTAGACCAAGCCTGGAACCATGGCGCGGTTTGGGTCCACGTGTCCTGCCCCATAATCCAATGGGGAAGATGCATTCCAAGTGGCCTCGTCGAGCATGTGGGGCCCACCACGATTGTCTCTAACATATGCAGTTGTCATCAGGGCCGATCGAATCATGCTGGGTGTCCAGTCGGGGTGGGCCCCCATCAAGAGGGCCGCTAAGCCTGACACGTGTGGGCAGGCCATTGAGGTTCCCGATAATATGTTAAACTCGGTTTTTCGACGGTCAGATGTGACCCCCGCAGGCCCTACATCATCAGTCCAGGCTGCTAGGATGTTGACACCCGGTGCAATGACATCAGGTTTCAAGATCTCAGGAGCCACCGGATTTGGGCCACGTGCTGAGAAGGAAGCAACCACTGGAGCTGGCCGCACACCAAGCTGGGTCCCTTGAAACCGAATTGTGGCTGTCGGATTCTTCACAGAGTTGACGTAAGAACGGACAAGATCGCCCGCATTCGCACCAATAGCAGCAGCTGGTAGAACATGTGAATCCGCCACCAGACCCTCTCCATCGCCTGCCCCGTTCGCCAAAATCATACCTACACCTCCTGCCTCTTTTACGACTATGCCCTTGTTTACACGTGCATTGCTCCCCCTATCACACAGCACAATTTTGCCCCTGACCATCTCGGGATCCAACGAGTTCTCCATACAAAGCGATGAGGAATAACCGTCACCACCAGTAGCAGGGGCATTTCCAGCATAAACCAGGGGAATCTCAGGTTTTTGGCTAAGATGGGGACCACTGTATAGACTGACTCCCGAAAATTTGACACCATTGCCCAGAGAAATTTCAGCTGGAAAGTTCCGATCGAGCGTTCCGGCACCAACAGTTGTGATCCACGGGGCAACATTCGTGACTGTCGACTCGGCGGGGCCCTCATTACCAGCAGAAGCAGAGACAAAGATGTTGTGTTGAGCAGCAGCAAAGGCACCAATGGCAATGGAGTCAAGATAAAATGGAACGACCCCACCGCCAACAGAGAGGGAGATGACGTTGACGCCATCAAGGACCGCACGGTCGAAAGCAGCCAGGATGTCAGAGTCGAAGCAGCCCGAGGTCCAGCACACCTTTTAAGCCACAACAAAACCATGCATATTTAGCATAATCTATCTTAAGTTTTCTCAGCCACAGAATTGTCCGAAATAGTTGAGTCCAGGTACAGGTCCCATACGAGTTGTGTGGGATCTTAATTTCTCCTATTGAATCCCTACCATGGATGGTGAAGATGATCCAAAGTTCCGCAAAGTACTTGCACTGACAGTAAAATGGAAGTACATTACATAGCAATGGATCATCTCAATCTTCTATTCTAGGCATCCAGTGGTGGAGATTGTGGTCTAACATGATCTTGGCGACCCAGTGTCAGATCAGTCACACAATCAATTTTTGTTGAGTTACTTTGCAAAGGAAGTTCTATGCAGTGGGATAAACATAACGTGTAGCAACCAGCTATTTTTACTAATCACACTCTTCAACATCAATTCACATACCCAAAATTGCTGGTTTGGGTCATTTATCACACCACCTTAATACCAAGTGAGATTAACTAAAGTTCAAGTTGCCATTGCCAAAACCAGATGGTGGCAAAACTAACCTCGTGCCGTTTCCTTGACAAGTAATGTGGGTTCAAACCTGAGTCATCTAATGAAAGAATGAAATTTCATTTGGAGAAAAGATGGATCAACCCAAAGATCATTTGCCTAGCACCTCCAATCAATGGATGATGAACAGTGTGGAAGAGAGAATGGAACACATCAGAACCAACCAAGTCGTGGCCATTCATTGAACTGTGTTAGCCTCAGATCTATGGTATGTCATCACTTACTCTTTTATTGAATTTTGGGATAATATCGAGTGAACCTTCCTCTGTGTTAGCAGTAAATGGCACTGGAATGTTTCACCTCTAACATGCAGTGGAGACTTAGCATCATGCAAACAATAAACTGTGTGAAGTATGGTATACGGTAACTACCCCTTTAATTTGGTAGTTATTTTGATCAGCCACAAATTAAATGGAGAACATATGCAACTAGACTAGAAGTTGTATTTCAAACATTTGTTAGCAGCACCTAAACCTCCCTCTGTCAACAATTAATGTCATTTCTCTGCTAAGTTTATCAGCCATAAAAAGTTGAGGAACGATACCGATCATTGTCAACATGTAATCAGACGACCAGCTACATTTGAAACCTTAATGGCAGATTATGAACACCTTAGACACCCATTGTTGGCATGGAATGGGTGAGGACCTGCTAGAAACTTGTTTGAAATCAAAATGCTAGAATATAATGTAAGAAATTTTGAAAGTGCTGATACCAATTGTGGAATTTTTTTGGGCTGAAATCAGTGCCAGTGTTCCTGTAAATAGCTACAAACTTCCAAACATAGAGAAAGTGAAATAGGGCATTTGATAATCGCATAAAGTGGGAAAAGTGCCGGACTTCCCCTATTACTGTAGTTCACCTGTTTGGGAACAGTAAAAATGGGGGAAAAGTCAAAACATAAGTTCTACTCATTCACTATTCCTTTAGGGAAAGTTGTTGCTTTGGGTTACTCCAACAACTACTTTCAGCGAAACGCATGCCATCAATTCAAGTTAGCATTGGGACAGTGGCGTTATAATAATATATATTACAATATTATACTATTATTATAGTATTATATATAATATTATATTACATATTAATAATAATAAAAAATATATGGTAACATAATATTATAATAATATCTTTTATATATTATAATATGCATAATACAATGTAATATATCTTACATATAATATATATACCAGCTTTCCCAAAGCCAAAATGGTAAAAATATTAGCACTACAATTTATCAAGGAAAAAGTTAATATAAATGCAAGGTTCTAAACAATCAAATTAGAGCGCACCTCAAAATTTTCACTAGAAGAGGGTATTTTGATGCCCAGATATTCTCAAGGATCATCTTGACCTTAAGATGCATGAACATGAAAAAAAAACAGATTTCAACTTTCAAATAGTGCATCTTGTAATGAATTTTTAGACCGTCAATTTTCAAAATTTTCAAGTTTTCATAAATCTGCTCGATCTACACTATTTTTTAAGCTTTAAATTTGGTAATTAGATTTGAAAATATGTTTTAAGGCTATCACAAAGATTTCCGATAATAAAACTACATTTCTCAATACCATTTGAAGGTGTGCTTTACTTTGATTGTTTAGAGCCTCGGCTTTATACAAACTGCAACCATTTATCAAACAGGGTACCCAACTTTCAGGCTACCAATTTTCACTTACTTCCCACAATCTAGAAAAGTTTAGCAAGGATTTTTCACAGACTCTGCAGTGACAGTTATCAAACGCCATATAAATACTATCATCATTACACACTCTCTCCTTGTTAATAACATTCTCTCTACATAATTCATCACCTACCACTTCTCTCTCCACTCAAGTACATCACTCTTTTTCTCTCTCTTCTCCTCACCACTCTCTTCTCTGCATGTCACTCACTTCTTTACTCTCTCTCTCACAACACCACCCCCTTTCCCTTTACACCACTCTATCTATCACTTCATCAAACCACTTAATCCCACTCAACCTATACACATCATACACACTATGCTTTCCTAATTATAACAAATACCTCCCACATTTTTCAAATGTTCACACTCATTTTCAATTTTTTACACCAACAAAAGTAAATGTTGACTTTCACATTTCTTCCCCTCATAAGCAAGCCAAAGTTGAAAAGGAGAATTGTGAAATTCAACATTTTCTTTCAGTGATATAAAAAATTAAAAATGAATAGGAACCTTTAGGGGAGGCTATGGGTCATAAATAGAGAATCGTAGTGTATGTAGGTTGAGTTAAATTGAGTAGTGTGATAAAGTAGTAGAGAGAGAGTGTGTGGTAGGGTGAGAGAAAGCAAGAGTAAAAAATTGAATGATGTGTAGAGAAGAGAGAGAGTCGTGGTGAGTTGAAAAGTAAGAGATCGAAGAAAAGAGCAAGAGAAAAATAGTGATGTACTTCAATAGTGAGAAAAGATAGAAGTAGTAGGTGAAGAATTAAGTACACAAAAGGGAGTGTGTAATCAATAAAAAAAAGAGTGTAATAATAAAAGTATTTAATGTTCTCATAATAATATAAACATTGTATAAATACAACGATTATTTCATATTTCTCTATGTTTGAAAGTTTGTAGCTATTTCACAAGAAATTTGGCACCAATTTAAGCCCACAAAAAATCTGACAATCAGTATCTGAGCCTGCAAAATTTCCTACATATGATACATGCATCTGTTTACATTTCAACAAAGGGCAATGATTTTGAATGGAGAAATATAATATGATCTACATGGTCATAATAACAAACAACGGCCATGTGCATTATTACAGCCTAATCAATGGTTTAGACAGCGACAGATGGTAGAGCGTGGAATTGTAATGCAATTAATCAATAACATTTTTGGAGGGACAAGTCTGTTCAGTCACCATCCAACCCATTGATGGGATGTTGTTAACCTTGTGGTCATGGAATTATCATGACCATGTAGCTCAAATTATACTGTTCCTTTCCATGTTTGCAAAATTGTTGGGCAAGTCAGCGCAGGTTGGGAGCCAAGTGATGCCAGGCCAAAAAAATCCCACAAATACCTGAGTCTCACATTTTTATCACAATTTTTTTATTTTCATATTAAAATTTGACTTATATGACTAGACTCTTCCGAGTACGACCTGGGGGGACCAGACTCAAGCCCTGGTGGGTCCAAGCCTGAACCAGAATTTTCAAACACTAGCTCCTTTTGTGTGTGAGAGAGAGAGTACCTTATAGGCAGCAAGTCGGGCTTTTGGAGCCATACCAGCAGCGACACCATGGGCATAGCCGAGCATGTCAGCAGGGTACACATAGCGGCCTGCAGCGATGGAGGCAGTGTGAGTGCCATGGCCATCTGAGTCACGAGGAGAGCGGTACTCTGCAGTCTCGTTCATGGGGCCACTCATCGCCTCATAGCCCCCCGAGAAGTACCTGTGAGACCACAATATTTCTCACTCATAATCTGTAACTACAAGCCTTCTCTCTCTCTCTCTTCCACCCTCATCTTCAATCAACTAAGAGAGTAAGTGAAGGAGATGGTCCGGGCTATAGGAAGAGAGGGGATTATACTCTTAAGACAAAGAAGAGGGAGGGTAGGCAAGGTTAGAGGGAGGATAGAGGACCAGAAAACAACCCCAAAAACCCAGGATCAAGGATCATGCAAGAGAGGTTAAGGGTTCAAACTCGAGTTCTAACTCGCAAGAGGCGAGTCCATGTCATGTCTATCAGAGACATGACCAAATCTATCTAAAAATACTAATAAAATAACAAAAACAGCTGAAACTCCGGAGTTTGAATGTTCTGTAGTTCCCGCTTTTGCACCCTGCCCGTCTGAGTGACTGGGGCGAGTCCGAGTTTTCAAACATATTCAAGCTAGTGATTAGAAAGACCAGCTCAGGCTCTAACTCGCAGGGCCCCAAGCCCAAGTTCCCCTACTTGGCTCGAGCAATTGCAAGTTAAAGCTGGCAGGTTTTTACAAGAAAAATAAGGAAGAACATATGAAAATGTTCGAAAACTTAAGCAATTATGGATGTATCGGTGCGTTATCTCTGGCTCCCGATTCAGCTGGAGAAGGCGACCGATTTTGGATCCAAAATATTATGGGTTAGGAATCTCAATGACGGCGAATATGAATGTTGTAAAAAGTACAAGTTTAAAACTTTAAAATGGTGTTTCTAAAATTCTTTCACCATTTTTTGAAATCCATATCAAAGATGGATGTTTGATGGTTTCAACTACCTCCATAATGAGATGGATACTTTTCCATAACTGAGTCCTGAGGGAACCTTCTCCCTCTTCCCAAGTTCAAATCGAACTCCCAACCACAAGGCCGACAAATAAATGAGCATTTATACCCTACGATTTTCAAGTGTGAAAAGCAATGCTAGAAAATCTGAATTGGGACCCAAATCATAAAGGTTCCAATTCTAACACGCAGTGTCCAACTCGAAGTATTCCTAGATCAAATTGAGCAATTCTAAAATCGGATTTGTGTACTAATTATAAAGAACATGAAAAATAAACTTAGAAAATATGAGAACTGGGGCAAGTACCTGGATCTTTGGACGAGAACCACCCATCTTCTATCAAGTTCCAACTAGGGCGATTCCGAGTAGAATCCTTAATTTTTCAATAATCATTGAAAAGTTTTCCCTTATGTGGTTTGCACAAGTGTTTAAAAACCGTATTAATAGGGCAGATTGTTCACCTAAAGCTCCATGTTGGTTCACTGAAACAGCGATTTGGATCGGGTCTAAATCGGTCTGAATTAGGAATCCAAAAGCTTCACAAATAAATAAAATAAAATAAAAATTAAAATAAGGGCTCATCAAGTAGGGATTTGGTGGGACCTAATAAAATATTAAATAAGTTTAAAAAGAGAAAAAATATATACAATCGTGGGTTTTAAGTGGATGGAACCATGCCATCCCAAAACCCGTTTTGGTCCCAATTGATTCCCAATAGAATTTGGTTCCAATTGATTCCCAATAGAATTGACAATTCAAATTGAACATCAGGTTTTAAAACATTGGTTTGCACATTTGAAGGACTGGACATGTTAAACATAAACCAAAAGAAAAATGAGGAACATCTCCCCCAGGATCGAATGTGTAGTTTCTTTGGACACTTACGAAAAATAAGCTCAAAAAAAAAAAAGGTGAGGTTTGTATAAGGTTGCAACTTTAAACCATCAAAGTAAGGTGCACCTCCAAACTTTGTCTTCATAACCAATTTTAATGCCTAAAACTTTTAGGATGGCCGAACAATCTATTTTCATCTCTTAAGTAAGAAATTTTAAACTCAAAAAATAGTTCAAATCAAACACATCCAAATATCTCGATTATCAATTCGATAATTTTCTAACATAAAAATAGCATTTTCCAATGTATTCAAGAGGTGCACCTTAATTACTTCTACAAGTTAAGACCTTTTCCCACAAATAAAAAAGATCTCATTTTGTTCACGTGTATAGAACCCCGAAAGGACCACAGGGGCCAGGATAAATCATCTGGGAAAATAATTGTTCAAAAGGACTCAAGAAACATAACGAAAGGACGTCCTCAAAAAAGTAGAACTTCTGAAGGCTTTTTAGGGGTAAAAAACAGCTAATAAAACCAAAACAAATAAATACAAATAAATACAAAAATAAGCCCAACTTCCTCGTCTTCACATCTGGAGACTGACTCCACCACTCTGTTCTCACAACTGGGCGTACAACAATTAGTCACGAGACACTTCTCCTCTCTCAAACCCCACAAAATAACAAAAAAGTTGAAAAACAAGGATAACTACTAATCCAAATCAGTAAAAAATAGTAAAAAAACCAAAAAAATGAGACATTCCATGAGAAAATAAACATAAAATCTCTGTGACTCATTTAAAGCGGCAAAGATTCCATTCCAGTGGGATTTTACTCATTATATTTTCCTTTATCTCCTGTATTCATTGGAAAAAAGGAGAATAAAATGGAAAAAATCCCATGAAAAATGAACATTCGAATGCAACAACTCGGCGATTATTTATCTGACTCGGCCATAGAATCGGCCCTTCTTTTCATTCTATTTCAATCAGCAACATAATCACCAAAATAGATATTCCTTTTGGCAACAATTAAACTTCTATTTTTACTTTTACTTTTTGTAAAAAATAGTCGGCAGCAAAGAATTACTGCTTATTGACAATGAAAGCTTTTTTTTGCCATATTCCCGCCATTATCAATCAATATGGAAACTCATGATTTGGTTGGTAATAGAAAAAAAATAAAAATAAAAAAAGAAATGGACCCCGGTTCTAAAATTTCTGAAGAGTAAATATTCATATTTTTTCATCCCCACTGAATTACCCAAAAAAAAAACAAAAAAATTTACCTCGCTCCAACGAGTTTACGATTACAGGAACTGGCCGAGAAACCGCGTCCTTCAACACACTCGCCCTTCCAACTTGAAGGAACCGGCCCGAGTCCACGATCCGAGAAGCTCCTCCTTTCCGGCCAAATACCCGTATCCAAAACACCGATTATCAAATTCGACCCGAAGTCTGACTCGGCGAGTAGACCCATTGTGTCCTTTCTCTTTAAGCCGAGGAATTGAGGAGATCGAGTGGTCTGAAGTTGCCTTGCTTTATCAGGAATCACAGAGAGTATTCCCGCCATTTTCTCGAGTTTTTTGGCCATGGACGGTGTGATTTTTGCTGAGAAGCCATGAAACACTGTGCTGTAAGTGTGGATTAAGGTGCCGGAGAACGAGCTTGCCAATGATGGGTTGCCGGAAACTTGGTTTTCCGGCGAAGAATCACTGGAAAATAGAGACTGGAGAGTGGATTGGTACCAGTGTTTATGAGTTGGGAAAATAGAGGGTTTTGCATCGTGCTTTGCTCTTATGATGAAGCTCAGTGGCTTCTCCTTCTCCTGCTGGCTCGTCTGTGAACTGAGAGAAAAACCCAATAAGAGGAAGAGAGAGAACAGGAAAAAGGACTTGAAGTTTACAGGGACCGCCATGGCTGGTTCAGTGAGAGAGTTGCAGTGATGGAGAGGGCAGGGGAGTGAATTTTATAGGAGAGGAAAGGGAAAAAAATTGTGGGGTTTAGTAAAATAGATGAAAATAAAAGGTGGCAATTTATTCACTCGAAAAAAAGGGAAAAATAAGGGGAAAAAGGCGGAGTGAAATGATTTGCGCTGGCCATTAATGGGCAATGCTTGTCAGCTTGGCCACAATAATCTTCATCCATCTTTCGTACGTAGCTATTCTTAGTTTTTTTTTGTTTTTTTTTCCATACTTATTGACAGTAATACCTTGTCCTTCTAAAGAAATGACAGTGTATGCTCCTTATTTTTATCCTTTTTGAAAAAGGACCAGGGAATGTGCATGCTGTGGTCTTTGTTTCTGTTTGGTAAGTGTTTTAAAACCAGAATGAGGATCATCTCGTAAGGGGTGGCGATGGACCCCACTAGACCCAATAACCGATGGTATACCCAACCTCGGGTCCACGGGTCCAGATAAGGGTTCAAATTTTAGACCTAAATACTTTTTGGTTCCAAGTTCAGGTCGAGTCGTACGCAACCCATACCCATAGTCATAGGGTAATATGATGGTAATCATGTGTTTTTAGGCACAACTTAGGTGTTCATATTATCACAATATACGCAACATTTACAGTATTATTGGCAAAAAACTCATAATCACAAGGAATATGATGGTAAAAAAAAGGCAAAAAAAAAAAAGCTCATAGTCATAGGGTGGCAATAGATCTGGCCAGACCCGAAGTACCGATGGGTCCGAGTACAAGTCCAAATTTTGGATTTAAATACTATTCGGGTCTAGGTCCAACTGGACCCCGACCATTGCCACCCCTACATCTGGGTCATTTGGGTGGACCTATAGATCGAGATTTTAGACGAAATGGCTGAGCCAATGTTTCAAAACCTAGAATGGTGGGGTCGATGGTTCGCCATATATTGGTATTGGATTGCCAGATCTATGATCTACATTAGTTTGAATCAAATCAATGATCTAGAAAAATCTTAAATATTACACAAGTAAAATATAAATTAAAGGGTGTGGTTTGTATAAAGCGGAGGCCCTAAACAATCAAAGCAAGGCACAACTTTGGATAGCTTTGAAAGATGATTTGGTATTGAAAATCTTTGTAATGGCCTAAAAATCTATTTTCATATCTAATTATAAAATTAAATTTTCAAAAATAGTATAGATAGAGAAAATCTATAAATACTTAAAAATCATGAAAATCGATGGTCTAGATAATGCATTATAAGATGCACCATTTGCAACACTTGAAATCATTTTTCCTCATGCTCATACATCTTGAGTCTGAGATTGATCGATTTGAGGATTTTTATCATTAAAACAACCTCTTCTAATAAAATTTTGAGGTACCCCTTATTTCGATTGTTTAAGGCCTCATCCCTTATATAAACCTTTTTCAATTTAAAAAGGGTTTTTTGAGAGGATTTAGGGGGGGACAAATAAACTTCAAAACAAATAAAAATATGAAGAGAGGAGATTCATACCCATACCAATGCCTTTTTGGGACCAGTTTAATCTCATACCATTTTCAATCTAGAGCACAATTTCCGATCCGGATTAAGCTGGTTGTTTTAGAATGTTAACCAAACTTGCCCTTTTACACGGGGAATAAATTTACCAATGTAAAAAGGGTTGCATCAAATTTTTCCCACAAGAAATTGACACCCCTTGCCAAAAGAAAATTCCTTTTTTTATTGTAGAACTAAAATGAAAAGGAAACTTACCAAAAATGTAAAATGAAGAGCAAAAGACAACTTTTTTAAAAAATAAATAAAAATTATAGCATGGTCCGTTCTTGTCATTTTATGGAAAGATAATGGTAGGGAGTGAGTCTCTTGTCAAAAAGGCAGGGTTACTTTTGTCCTCTATCTTTTTCACGTTATTTTACCTTTGTGAGATCATACGAAATATGCGAAAATCGAAGAGAATATTTCTCCAATCCCGCCATTCGAAACTCTAAAAAAATCAATGAAAGGCGGGAAACTGAGAAGGGTAAAAAACAAACATAAGAAAACGTCAGAGAGAGAGAAGGAGAGAGAAAATGCCTAAGAATTACACGAGGACGTGAGAATTAAAAGGGGTGCTGTATTTATAAGGCCTAGGCTGTATGAAAACCAAATAAAGCCTCACTTCAAATCCTCATAGAGCTCTTTCAATGATAGAAATCTCAAGAAAAAGATCTAAAATAAATTTTCATCACCGAAAATAAAATTTTAAACTATTAAAATGTACAGGTCTTGTGGATATTTGAATACTTATTTTTAAGACGAAATGGATAGTCTAGACAATTTGTTAAAATATACACTAATTTTAAAACTTGAAATTCTTTTTTTTCACAATGAGAATGTCCTTTTTTTTTTTTTTTTTTGACACTATCAAGAGCTTTTATTGAAAAGTTGGTTAGAAAGCATCGGTTACATTGTCGGAATCAAAGCATCAAAATAGACAACGAATATAAAGAAACTCCATATTTAGTAAGTCAATCAACTAAATTGGCTTCACAAAAAATATGAGAGAAAGAAATTTGAAGCCCACATAAATCTATGATTTTCTGCCATAAGGTATGAAGAATCCAAAGATCTTTTGCTCCATCAAATACCATTTAATCACAATCTCCTTCAACAAAATATTCAAACAAAGATGATGGAGGTAAAGATTTTCCAATGTTTGAATAACAATTTTGGACGAGTTATGAGGTGAGGCTTTACGTATTTTGATAAAGCTGCAGCCATGATTTTCCTTTAAAGAGAAACAGTGAAGAGAGAGAGAGAAAAAACAGAAGAAAAATTCGAGGGGTTGAAGCGTGTCGGGGGCCGGTAGCTAACTTCCAAATCCTGGAATTTTTTCTGATCCCTTCACTGTCCCTCTAGAAATGCGTGCCACCTTCGCACGTGCCGCACTCCTTTTCATTCTTAAAGGAAGCCCAAAGGGTGCCACCATTTCCCCTCTCTGGCCGTGTGGCTCTGCATGTAGTCTTATGCTTATACGGAAAGACTTCATGTAAGTTTATATACTATGTAATGCAAGACGTGCTTTACAAACCCTGCATTAACCGACTAGGTCTAACATAGATTGGTTTGGTGTCCTCCACCCGGACCCAAAAATTGGATCCGGGTTGAGAAATGGAAAAGCAAAAAAATTATTTTACATGTTGTAATATAGTTATTTTGTATAATTATATATAGTGGATTAGGTCGGGGTTGGGGGCTCAGGTCGCCCCTGACACAATAGGATCCAAGTCATTTGGATCCAGTCCCAATTTGCAAGATCCAATACCTGGACCCAGACCCAATTACCATCTTTGACCTCGACCTCAAAACATATAAGTATGAAAAAAGAATTGTCAAAAAAATAATGTATCTTATGTTATCTTGACAATCCATTTTTTAGATTTCCAAGAATGTGTAATATTATTTTAGTCTTAAATTTCATAAATAGATGTAAAAATAAAGTTGAAGTCCACAATAAGAATTTCTGACACTAAAATTACATCTTACAACAAGGTTTAGAGTAGGGCTAGTAATGGCCCAGGCCAGTCCTACTCCCCTTAGGGCACCAGACCTAGCCTAGCCCAGCCTAGCCCAGACCGTGCCAAAGAGGCTTTGGCCCAGGCCCTCTAAAGGCCAAGGTAGGCTTAAAATATATAAAAATAAAAGAAATTTTTGTTAAAAAAAAAGAGGGTTAATTTTGTTTGAATTTCACACTTCCTATATTGGCTCGAACGTGAATTTGCCAAAGAATAATTGTTCTTGGATTGATATCTTTGTGGATCTGAATTGGATAAGACCCACCACTTCTAACTCTTAAATATTAAGTTTAGATATGATCTCAGATAGTTCGAACTTTGCTTAGTCATGTAAGTCTTGAAATCACGTGTAAACAATTGAACATCGACAAAGACATAAAACAAGTGTAACTAAAAATCAATTTGGATTTATGCCAAAGGGGTCAACTATTGCGGTTATTTTCCTACTCAAGCAATCGATTGAAAAGTTTAAGGAGAAGAGAAATATCTCCACAAGGTTTTTATTGATTTAGAGAAAACATACGATAGGGTACCTAGATAGATAATTTGGTAGATACTAGAAAAGAAATGAGTCTCAATATAATATATTGACATAGATAAGGATATGTACAAGGGAATGTTAACTAATGTGAGGACAACTAGTAAAGATAAGCGAGTTTTTAAGTATAATAGGTCTACATCATGGATCAGTGTTGAGTCATATCTCTTTTGTTCTCGTTGTGGACGAGTTAACTAGACATTTACAGGATGATGTACCCGGGTGTATGTTGTTTTGTACATAACATAATTTTGATTAATTAGACTAAAGGCCACATAAACGCTGAGTTCGAACTTTGGAATGATGCTTTAGAATCCAAAGGTTTTCAAATTAATCGGACTTATAAAATATATGGGATGCAAGTTTAGTAAAAAAAAGAGCAAAAAGGGAGAATCACTAAGATTGGTTACCACGAAATTCCTAAAAGAGATTATTTTTTTATATCTTGGATCAATAATCCACGAGAAAGGATAGATTAAAGAAAATGTTGCTCATAGAATTAGAGTTGGGTAGACAAGTAAGAGAGGTACTTCTAGAGTCTTATGTGATCGTTACATACCAATGAAATTGAATGAGAAGTTATATAAGATGGATATAAGAGTAGTCATGATTTATATGACAGAATGTTGGGTAATCAAAAATAACATATCTATAGAATGGGTGTAGCTGGGATGATGATGCTAATATGGATGATTAAAAAGACAATGATGTACAATTTTTAGTGAATAAATTGGAGGGAACTTAGGGGTAGCTCAAATAGCCAAATAGGTGATATAATAAGGGAAAGTAGATTTAGGTGGTTTGCTAGAGTAGATTTAGGTGGTTTGCTCACGTGTGTCAACCTAGAACAATATTGTTTAGGAAATGTGATTTAATTTAAGTCAAAGGTTCTAGAAATGCAAGGGAATACCTTTAAGGACGTATATAAAAGCAATAAGAAAAGATATGGTGACTTATGGTTTGAGTGAGGGTATGCTTCTTGATACAGTGGAATAAAGGGACATGGTTCGTGTAGTAACCCCAACTGGTTGGAATAAAGCTCCAATGATAGTGATGAGGACGACGACGACGACGGCGGCGACATATATAGTC